TTTCTTTTTCTTTTTCTTTTTCTTTTTCTTTTTATTTTTGCACGTTATCACTGTGCCCGTTTTTTGCTTTTATTCTTTGTTCCGCAAAGTGCGCTCTTTTAGTTTGTAGTGATGTGACAATATATATATATTGTCACAAACAGATATATATATATATAAATGAATCTACACATCCCAAAAACGACAAAAACAAAAGTAAACAAATCTGCGCATCGGGCCCCATTCCTCTGGACCGGCTAAATGGCCTCCCGCAGCTGCGAATGTATCTTTCCATGTCCTAGCAGAAAATTCCTTCTCGTTTTGCACACTTCCTCAAGTCGAGCGACGCTCAAAGAGTCACGAAATGAAATCGCTATTATGGATTTAGAAAGAACACTTCAAAAAGGCGAATGACGGGAGTTGAACGCGATAAGTCAACCTGGGAAAAAAATCGGCTCTGCAGTTCACCGCGGGACAGCTTCCCCCGAGGACCTCTCACGAGGCCAGCGATTTTTGCTGGCCCAGGAGGGGGGGCGTCAGCTGAGGACCACGTTAGCCATTAGCAATGATTGAGATAAACAAAACTGGTAGTTATACTAGATCACTCCTTGTTAGGTATGGAGATAGGGAAAACTGGTGGTTATACTAGATCATTCCTTTCTAGGTATAGAGAGAGAGAGAAAACTGGTAGTTATACTAGATCATTCCTTTTTAGGTATATATAGAGAGAGAAAACTGGTAGTTATACTAGATCATTCCTTTTTTTTATTAAAAAGGGAAAACTGAAGGGGGAAAAAACCGGAACAACAAAATAAAAGAATCTACTTTTCACATGGGCAACAACACAAGCGAAGAGAATACAAAGATGCTGACTTTTTTGCCAAAAAAGAAAAAAGAAAAAAAAAAAGAAAAAAAAGATTTAAAAATCCGAGAAAAGTTCAAAATGCTCCATTGCAGAAAAGAATGAATGTCACTGAATCATAACGGATAATTAGCCTAGGTTCAGTTACGCTGTTCATGCAAACAAGCCCGGATTCATCCAGTCTCTGCACAGCACCACAGACATAGCAAACGACAAAGACGGAGAAAGAATCATGAGATTCTTAGTATTCAAATTTAATTTCAATTAATTTCTAATTAATTTCAATTAATTTCAATTGAAATTTTAATTAATTAAATTATTAAATTAATTGAAATTCATTGAATTGACGAGTATGATTACTAAGTTACCAGAATTGATAATACACAGTTCTTTAAGGATTAAATACTATCAATGAAGAATTATTTCAGTAATAAAAATGATTACATATTTAGTATTTTTTTATTCAGTATTTCCTATATAGTCTTTCCTATTTCCTTGAGTATTTCTTATTTAGTATTGACCACTTCAACATAACAACCATGTCGAGGAGGAGAGTTGTCTTCCTCTTTTTGGATGACAAATACCCCCCTCCACTCCCAGCCCCACCCCCCCCCCATCCTCTTCCGCCTCCCCCCCAAAAAAAAAGGAGGGGAAAAGTGCCACTGCACTGCAAATGCTGAGGGGCATTTGAGCGCACCAGAGAAAGCAGACTATCAGAAAGCACCCCTCAAGGCTCAAACCAAAAAAAAAAAAAAAAAAAGGGGGCTGCAGTCTGCAGGCCAAAAAATGTTAATCATCCACCCTGGCAATTTCCTTTAGCAAACAGAGAATGAGTAATTAGTAACCCATACAATTTACAAAACCCTGAAAACCGTCATTTGACACGTAATTTTGTAGGTTGTGGCGTGGCTGAAGGCGTCCACAGGGGTCCATCATCCATGGTCTGAAGGCGACGACTTGCGCGGACCATTCCCTCGTAATAATTTCATAATGTTCACAACACACGGCATGTTGATCACATGTCTCTAACCGAACATCTGCTGGATTATCTCAGAAGTCGACAGCGAGCAGTAGAGAGTTCGATGTACTCGTACTTGCGCGCTCGCGCTTGGACTTGCCCTCGCACTCGCGCTCGCGCTCGGACTAGGGCTCGTACTTGCGCTCGTACTTGCGGTCCTACTAGGGCTCGTACTTGTGCTCGTACTTGCGCTCCTACTTGCGCTCGTACTTGCGCTCGTACCTGTGCTCGTACTTGCGCTCGTACTTGCACTCATACCTGTGCTCGTACTTGCGTTTGTACTTGGGCTCATGCATGTGGTATCTTGGCCTCATGCTTGGGCTCATACTGACACAACCTTTATGTATGTGGACAAGTGATGAAAGGCTCTGGATGCAAAGAATCTGACAGGCCATTGCTTGCCCCAGTAATGATGAGGCTGAGCTTTCAGCACTGTGCATTTTTTTTATTTTTATTTTTTAATAACAAAAACACCCCCACCAGTGTTAGTGCTGCTGGTAAGAGCAGACACCACTAACACCTTGGGAGAGGCTCCATCTATTAGTGGGGAGCGTCACCTGCTGGAAAACGGGTCCAGCGATATTTTTTATTATTATTTAAATGTGGTTCATGTTGCAGTCAGTTTTCCACACAACTCCACAAAGGAAGGGTAACTGTGACAAGCTGCTTTATCGGACCTGTACTCATCGATTAATCCAAGGATGTCGAACCTCGATGGTCTGCGTATGGTGCATCTGACTGATGGATAAGGAGGGCTCAAGGGTGTTGCTAACTTCCCCCCCCAAAAAGAAAAAAAAAGGGTGTTGCTCACCCACCGCCACCGATTTGCCCAAAGTTAGCAACACCCTTTGTTTTTGTTTTTTTTTGTTTTTGGGGGGCGATGGGGAGGAAGTTAGCAACACCCTTGAGAAAAGTGGAATGGTCTTCGTTAAGTTTGATACTGGAAGACCTGTCTAGTTCACCCTCCTGATAGTCTGCTAGATAACGGCAGTGAGTCCGAGAAACTGGTCCTTATGTGAGTGCATTTGGTTCTCTCTTTTCGTTCGTCTTTTTTAGCTTTCGCATTGTCTTTTTTTTTCTTTTTTCGTTTTTTTTCCATTTCGAACTTGATCAGCAGTTTGCTTTCTCATTTCTCCGTCTCTTCATCTCTCTACTGTATGTACACCACCTGGGAACACCCACCAACTTATACCTCTCCTGATTCTAATTCAGTTTGCAAGGCTACTGTGCCTGCTGTCAAATGGGTTGGTGTATGCCCAGCCAGTGATGATGTGTGTGTGTGTGTGTGTCTGAG